TGAACATCGTGGCAGGAGTACTACGGGTTGGAGAGAAAGAAAGGAAGACATGGGAGTGTTTGGAGGAGAGGAAACTACAAAATAATGAATTTTTTAGAACATAAATTGAATTGTATCTTTGTGACAGCTATTTAGGACATTCCAAGTTTTTCATGGGTTCCCTAAGTATAGAGTCTGAGAACAAAAAATAATCTGGCATATATTTTACCACAAGGAATTAAGGAATTCAGGCAGCCACTGAAGCCCACATCAATCTAATTTTCCTGATTCCTATGATTTTAATAGCCACCTGCAGCATGAAAATTGTGTTTGCTATTAAATTATAGCTATAAATGCCATATAATCAGTACACTATCAATATGTAATAATTCTGGAATGACCATGTGACTCCAATTGTTACAAATAAAATCAGGGCTATGAATTCTCACTATATTGAGGAATCAATTATGTCAGAGGCTCGCAGTCAAGTGATTTCTTTGTACCCTTCTCCCCGAACTAATTCGCATGTTTTTTAAAGTAAGGTAGAAAAACATATGAATGTGACAAAATGTCACTTTCATTAAAACCTTTAGGTTATTTTTATATTAGCAGACAGAGAAGTGTTCCTGAAGTGGAAAAGTAGAGCAAAAATCCTAAGATCCACTGCCTTCCCAAGAAAACCCAATGTAATAAATTCTCAAGCAGAAATAAATGCAATAATCTCTATATACAGTTTAAATTGAGTAGGGGACTCATCTTATTCTCTAAGGAGCATCAAGATAGTTGAGACTGCCTAAAGAGTTCATGAAACATGTCATTAAAATTTAGACTTGACCATAATTCAATTATGATCTCTTTAGAATATGCAGTGATATGAAAGCAGAACATTCAGCTGATGTTTCATGGGTGACTCAGAAGCCACTTCTGCTGCATTTAATTCCAGTGCGGATTGAAAATTAGCTGAAGTAAAGATGTATATTCAAGTTTGCTACATGATAGCAAAATTAGAAGCAAGCTAAGTGTACAAGAGGTAGTTAAGTACAATCACTCATTGAAAGTATCATTATGAAGACTCAAAAAAATCAGTAGGAAGCTTGCAGCAATATGTAAAATCTATGACATAATATTATGTGAAAAGCAGGATATGCAATTGACTAAAACTATTTAAAACTATATGTCTATGGAAAAAAACAAAGAATATATTCCACACTATAAGTAGTTCAACTTGCTAAATTGTTTGATTTGAGACCCTTTGTATTAAAAGTTTATATGGTAGCACAGTACCTTTATAGCTTTTGAAAAATTAGCAGAATCCTGAGGGTAACAATAGATAAGGTACAGGAACCATGTGTACCTCTACTGAATCTTCTAGCTCCATGACTGCGGGGGCATGAAGTTTCTTCTAACACAGGTTTTCTCTAACTACGGACAGTTTAACTAGATCATTCTTTGCTGTGAGGAGGATGGCTTGTGCACTGTGGAATGTTTAGCAGCATCCTCGGTCTCTATCCACTAGATGCCAGTAGCATCTTCTAGCTGTGACAATAAAAAAAAAAATGTCTCCAGACATTGCAATGTGTCTCATAGAAAAGTGTAGAGTGGAATTGCCTCCAGGTCGGTTTGTAAGAAGTGATCACTAAATACCTTTCCAGCTTTAATACTTTATGATTGATTCAAAATCAAATGACATATTTGCTTTAAAAAAAAAGAGAGACCTAATTTGTAGATCAGAAATTGCTTAAAATAAATACATTTAGAAAAAATACTAAATATAAAACAAAGACTGTGCATACTCCCTTGAGCTCAATTACAGTTTCATTGAAAAGGAGAGTGTTGCTTCTCATTTTCAATGAAATTCATTTGAAAGAATATCAGTTGACATTATCCTAAGGCCTGGAACTGCTTAAAGTTATGAGTGAGCCTGAGGCTGATTTCGGGTTAATATTTAACATTCATTACAAATTATCCTGTCCTTCTTTAATCTTGAAAGTAGACTAAATATATTTTAAACACTGAGTCAACAGTTGCAATCTAATTAGAATCAAATCATCCATTTTCCAAAGAATTATGTGTATTTTAATGGTAAGTAATTAGGAGGGACCGAATTTCTAAGGAATTCTTATGTTGCAGATGTTGCAGTGAAAATACATGATAGTATCTCTAAATAATCTCTATACAAAATACATGATAGTATCTCTAAATAATCTCTATACATTGTATTTGGATCTTAAAAAGTGTTTTCTTAGATATTGGCTGGCTGGCTGGCTGGATGGACGGATGGCTGGCTGGCTGGCTGGATGGATGGATGGATGCTCAGTGGTCTTGGATGAGTAAAATAAAATTATAGCCCAGTTTACTTAGAACTCTTTGGAAACAGGCTTTTGATATAGATTATCCTTGAGCTGCTGTAAGAAGTGGAGGAGGCCAGGAAAGGTGATGACATTGAAGATGAACTTGAAAGTCAGAGCAGGTAAGAAGCAGAGAGAAAGGCACAGGTAGAGAAATAGTAGTTGTGTTTCTTGTGACAGAAGGTGATATATACAACTCATCACCAGCCCACAGGATTCTGAGAACTTCTTAAATTTCTTAAATGGTTAAGATTCCTGACTTTCCCCCAAGTCTCTCAGTTCAAGGGCAGAAAGATCAGCTATAAGAATCACATTATGAACCAGTAACAAGCATAGCATATGGAGGTACTTAAGAATATTATCAACCTTTTATTTGTGCAATACATCTGAAACTTATCAAAGCTCATCTCTTAGCACCTGAATAAAACATCTGAAACACAATTTACTCTCCATGAGGATGACACATGATATAGAAAGTTCTCAGCAGCTTTTGGCAACTGGGTAAAGAAAAAAAAAAAGGAATAGCACAAAGTCTCTAGACAATACTTATGATCTGAGAATCAGATTTATTTTAAAGGATAAAAAGTACATATTATCCCTAGGTCTGAGACTCACTGTTTCCAGGCTATCATAACCTGACATAATCCTCCACAGAACTCTCGGCACACTTCAGCCCACTCCAGGAGAAATTGGGTGGGGTAGGGGTAACTAACAAGTTACGTTTTTTTCCTACTACAGCCATGTACAATTATTTCTTCAGCCAGATTGGACCTTTCACTAGTTATTAGCATCTTAATTCCAAGACATCTGGAAAACCAAATGAAAAGTCTATTATTACTGAAAAATGGTCATTAAAGATAGTTGCAAAGATGAGTTTTTTTCTTTCTTAAATATTCAGTCATATCTGTGTTTCCTAAAAAGATTCACACTTTTAAATTATTAGACTTTAAAATGTTTACCTCTAACAAAATATCACAAATGACAGTTTGCTATTCTAAAACTGCCCAAACAACTCTTTTTCTTCTTTGTAAACCAAAACATAATAAATTCTTGTTCCTTGAGGACTGTTGTTACTCCCATATCATTAAAAACTCAAAAAAATTAACTACATCTATTAAAAAGAACAAATATTGTATTCTCCTCTTTAAGCTATGTATATCTGACAATAAAAAACTTGTTTTAACTAAAATATACACATTTGGGGTAAATACCCAGCAGAGGGATTGCTGGATCATATGGTCAGCCATAAGAAGAAATGAAATACTGCCATTTGCAACAACATGGATGAACCTTGAAATAATCATACTAAGCGAAATAAACCAGACAGAAAAAGTTGAAAATCACATGACAGCACTTATATGTGGGATTTAAACCTAAAAGCAATAAATGAACAGGACAAACAAACAAAGACTCATGGACATGGACTATAGACTAGTGGTTACCAAAGGGTAGGGGTTGGGGAAGGAGAGGGGAGGTAGGCGGGGTAAAAGGGGTCAAATATAGGGGGGTAGGGAGAGGGTGAAGTGGGTAAAGGAGATCAAATATATGGTAGCTGAAGGAAACTGGACTTTGGGTGGTAAATACACAATAGAATATACAGATGTCAAATTATAATGTACATCTGAAAATTATATAATTGTATTAACCAACATTATCCCAATACACAATAAAAAAAAATACATACATACACATTTGAATGCCTTGATGCCATGGTACTACATATACTCAATTTTACTGCATTATTTCTTTTTAAGCCTTATTTTCAACTAATGATTGATTGACTTTTTTATTCTTAATTCTAGTTTCTTTTATGGAAATTTATTCCTTTATGGAAAGTTCAGCTGTTTTAAAGTTCAAATATTTATGTTATAGAAATAAAGGATTCAATGTAGGAACATGAATGTTGAATCTAAGGGAAAAAATTATTTATCTAAGGAAGCTGCTAAGAATAACTATTATTCATTTTAATGAATAATAGGCATGAAATCGGCCCCTTTTTCTTTTAAACATGTATATTCTAACAACACACATGATACTTATGACATAACACTTTAGATGCTGGCTTTCTGGCCAAATGAACATTTTGGGAGACTCTAGAAGCATAGATGGAATGTCTGAGTAGTCTGTTCAGAATGTCATTTTTTTAAATGAAAATACGGACAAAAGTCCTATGTATCTGATTTGTTTGAAACTACTAAATCCTGACAAAAGTTATTACTGCTTTGCCATTTGAATGTATAGAGTAGGCAGTGGGGGAGTTTATGCTTTATCATTTCCAGGTATCTCAAAAATAACATATCTTCTCACATAATCACAAATTCTGGACCTCTAGCAAGGCCAACTTTTAAAGTCATTTTAATCTCTCCTTTGCTCTGATGTTCTCTATCCTACCTCGTTCTATATCATACTAACCTAAGATGTGGAATCTAGAGAAATCTCAAATTTGATAAGAATATCAGGGACATTTCTTAGAGCTTATATGAATGATTTCTTTAGTGGTATTTGTCACCATTTAAATCTTCACTTTCTATTTAAAAAGTAGTTGCAGCTACCATCTTGAACTTGAAAAAAGTTGCTTTAGATACCAGCCTTAATGTATTTAAGTCTCTATTAAGTGTTACGACAAGGACCCAGTGATCTAAAAATTTCTATTGTAACTTTTCATTTCCTTACCAGAAATGAGACTTGCAATTTCTTCAGAATTCTGATCTTTTTCATATTTAGTCATTAATAATGGTGGCATGAACATTTGGCTTGGAATGTAAACCAAATGGTCACTTCCATTGTCCTCAAAAACGAAAGATGAGTCTCTCCCAGCATTTAATTCCTGGCTAACAAAACTGTTCTCTCCTGAAGAGATCTCATGTGGTTCATTAGTAAACCTAGAAGATAAAAAGGAAAGTTTTAGGTGAATCTAGATAGCTTTGGGAAATGTAAAGAAAGGATTTCAAGAACTTAATATAATTATTTCTTATAAGAAAAATGAGTGGTAAAAAAACTTCATTTCAAACAAATAATTCATGAAGATTCGTTATACTTATTATTTAAAAAGTATAAGCTGATAAATTAAATTTACCCTCTCCCTTTCCCCATCTGCTTATAGCCTATGAATAAACTAAGTCTGGAATAAACTAAGTCTGATTTGCCACAGAGTTTTAGATAAATGAGAAAAAACTCATTCATAGGTTATTTGGAACAACCAAATAATATATCTCAGACTGATATCAATCATCATAGAAATTATAGAAAATAGTCATTTAACTTACCAAGATTGCTCTAAGAAAAATAAGACCATATAAAATACATCTCATTGACAACATACCTCTTAAAATGGTGTCTACATTTACATTCTTAGGCACTTGAGAGTTCTCTATGATAATTTGAGAATATTGTGTTTTTATTTAGATGATGACAGAAAACATATTCAATAGAAGTTTATTCTTATTTTTATTCTACTCAAGCAATTTTATGCAATTTCAATGTTCATGTTTACATTTGTATTTGATACTGGTATTTGGCACCCACTGGTACTACTTTAACTGTTGAGAGTTAATGAAGAAGGGAAAAAAAGTCAAACATAATACATAATACATTCACACCAAGTAAAAGTAAAACAGTATCATGACACACAGCATGAATGATCGCTGTGCAGTAGTGCAGGTGAAGATAAGTGATGAGGAATCAAGTCATCGTGTAACAAAGCAGGCAAGCTGAAAGCAGATGCACCTCTGCAGCGTGCATCGTATTTTACATATTTTAACATTATGCACCATATTTTTCCAGTTTTCAGGAATTCTATTTTGGTAGAGCAGAATATCCATTACATTAAATTAGTGTTTTAAATTTGTGTCTTACTGAGCTTGCTTGGATTTGATGCACGCATTTGTTTGGGTCTGAGAGTTGCATAAGAACTATAAGCATATGGTATTTGCAGCTAGATTTATGTTTGCACATGTTTAAATAACATTATACTATTTTGTCTGCAGTTCCATAAGAATTGATTTTCCTTTAAGTGAGTTAATAGCATTCAATGTTGAGAAAGGCTGCTGCATACGACATTAGTGTCATAATGTCTTCAGAAGGTATTGGCTGTTTGACACTTCCTTGCTAACTACCCAGTAAATGAAATCTGACATTAGAGGAACATGTACTTGCATGAATTTTGAGGAACATCGATCTTGCCATTTTGCTTCTAGATATATGTAAGAGGACTTTATCTGTTCTGAGAAGCTCTTTGTTTAATTGCAATCTGAGAGGATAGAATAATTATGGCCCTAAATTTGGGCTTTCACAGGGCTACAGTCAGGGATTCATGCTAAGTGAAGTATAGAGAAAAGCACAGAGCGGTCAAATGGGCCATTTTCATTCTGTTTGAAGTTCAAGATTCATTTAGATTAATTATTTATATTTGTATTTAGGATACAAGGTTTAGGAAAATTATTTATATGTGCAATTACATTGAGGGGTCTTTTATGCTACATGTTGGGGATGAAACAATGAATCGTGCAGACCAGACTTCAGTGACACAAGACACTGGAATAAATTGTAATAAGTGCCTCAGCAGAGGTATAAAAAAAAGTACCAAAAAAAAAAAAAAAAAAAGGAAGAACTGTAGATTTTGACTGAGAATAAAGATGGGCTTTGAAAAGGAGACAGCTTCAATCAGAGCCATGAAAGATGGGTAGGCTTTCACTGGAAAGAACAGAGTCCCAGGCAGCAAGACCAGAGGCCCAGGAGGGTGAATCAACAGTTCACACAAGGCAGACAAGAGTCCAGTATAGCCAAAACTCAGCATTTACGGTGGGGAAAAATGTGAAATGAAGTTGAGGTCAGTTGAGGTTAAATTGTGGATTCTATTCTGGGAACTACTGAGGAAACCATGAATTTCAAGGCAAATTGTAATAAAGCTTACGTAGATGTTTTAAAAACATTAATCCAGAAAGCATACTCGATGTGTAACTTCTATTACAGAAAATGGAATACATGAAGAGCCATTACTTCAGAGACCTTATTAGCTTCCTCAGCCTAATAACCTGCCATTGGCCAGTTATACACCCATCAGTCCATTCACAGTCATTTGTAAATATAAGAGCTTTCCAACTCACAGGAGATCGTAATTTTGATGATCCTCTATTTCTGAATTGATGAGTCTACAGGCATTCTCCAGCATCGGTGGTGGATACTGATTGAATCCTCCTATTGAGAGAGCAAAGTTATAGTTAGGTTTTTAAACTAGAAATTGCATTTGCTAGGTAAAGAGAATTCCAACAGAAATCTTCTTGAAACAATAAATGTGACTAAAATATTTCAGCAAAATTTGGTTGGGGTTAAAAAAGCAAATAGTAGCAATTCGAAATAGCATTCAAAATTTGATTTTAGAGTGTTTTGTGGCCAAAGAATTTCCAGCGTCAGGCAAACAGACCTCCTCAAATTGTTCATTTAAGGGTTAATTATGAGGCGAAGAGACTCATGATTTCCATATGCGCAGGCTAACAAAATCTAAGGGAAATTTTATTGACTCTTATAAAGCTTTCTTACTCACACTTATGCTAATGAATCAAATATAGAAAAGGTAATGTTTTATTGCATAATGCTATTTCTCTGCTTCTGCACCAATTAACACTGATTTTCTAGGAGGAAAAGAATCACTGAAAGGGGTTTAGCTTACTGACCTGAGTAAATCTCTCCACCTCCTTCCCACTGCTGTTCTATAAGCTTTGAAATATTGAGATGTATATCATTTTACCTCTCATGCAGGAAAACAAATAGTTTGTAGTTAAAGGAAACTGTTGACCATTGAATAATCCAAGACTCCATGAAAATATTTCAGAAAATATTAATAGTTTTATAATAATCATATTTCTCTGGTTCTAAGATGAGCATTTTCTTCCATTGCTCTAAAATGAGACTATGTTTTCTAATTAATTACATTTGACAGTTGTTATTAGTGAGGCAAGAACTGCGATACAGTTGTTATTGTCTGCGTTTGTGGGAACAGCAAACAGGCCAGCATCAAAACTTGTAGAAGTGGTGTCACTAGTTTGGAAAATATCCCAGAAGTATTAGGAGTTTTTTTAACCCCTAAACCAAGTGGTTATGGGAAAGCAGTGAATTGGATGTATTGAATAACATTGCTCAGGTGAAAATCAAAAGTAAGCAAGATCTATGTGAAAAGATGCTTAACATTACTAATCACCAGAGAAATGCAAAAACCACAATGAGCTATCACTTCACACTTGTCAGAATGGCTATTACCAATAAATCAATAAACAACAATTGTTGGTGAGAGTGTGGAGAAAAGGGAACCCTTGTGCATTGTTGGTGGAATTGTAAATTGATGCAACCACTGGAAAACAGAGGTTCCTTAAAAAAATTAAAACTAGAACTATCTTATAATCTAGCAATTGCACTTTTGGGCATTTATCCAAAGAAATTCAAAACACTAATTTGAAAAGATATATGCATTCATAATGTTCATTGCAGCATTTTTTACAATAGCCAAGATATGAAAGCCACCTAAGTGTCCATTAATAGATAATTGGACAAAGAAGAGGTAATATAAATATAGATATTTAAATATTTATATATTTATATAATGGAATATTATTACTTGGCCATAAAAAAGAATGAAATCTTACCATTTGCAATGACATGGATGGACCTAGAGGGACTATGCTAAGTGAAGTAAGTCAGACAGAGAAAGACAAATACCATATGATTTTACTTATACGTAGAATCTAAAGAACAAAATAAATGAACAAACGAAACAGAAATAGACTCATAGATACAGAGAACAAATTGACAATTGCTGGATGAGATGGAGTTGGCGGGGTGTGGCTGGGTGAACAAGGTGAAGGGACTAAGAAGTACAAATTGGTAGTAACAAAATAGTCATGGGGGTGTAAAGTACAACATAGAGAATATAGTCAATAACATTGTAATAACTATATATGGTGCCAGGTAGGCACTAGACTTATCGGGGGGATCATTTTGTAAGTTATTAACACTATTAACAAACACTAATTTATTAAAACAAAGAGGAAAAACAAAATTATGACTTACGTCTGATTGAGTACACAAATGGCTTTAAAAACTTCACAATATAATCCAAATCTGGTTTATGAATTCTCCCAAGTTGTATCAGATGGTGATCAAGTGGGTAGCTGGCTAACTCTTCCATGTCGTCCTTATGTGTAGAACCCAGGGAAATCACAAATATGACATAGCCTTGGCACTTGGCCCTCAGAGCCATCTTCTTTAAGAATTCCTGTCTCTCACGATTTTCTCCAGCTGAGACCACAAAGATGACCTTGTGTTTTCTCAGGTTGGCTGTTCCTGGGAAGAGATTCTCCATGATCCACAGTAGGGCATGGCCAATGGTGGCTTCTCCATTTAGCTGTTGAAGGGAATTCTGAATGTGGCTCTTCATTACAGCTAGATTGTCATAAGTTGTAAATGCAAACTCTGTTTTAACCACTTTTGTCTTTCTCCTGGAACTATCCCAAGGAGAATAGCTCAACAAGGCAATTCTATCACCAGAGTCTGAGATTAAAGGGTCTGAAGCAATGTTGAAGTTGTCCAGCATTGAGCTCACCAAGTCTTTCACAGCCTTAAACTCATCATTTGCTATATTCCGAGAATTGTCTAAAAGGAAGGCTATATCCATGTGTGAATTTTCAGGTACAAGAACCTCTTTGATGCAAACATTTGGAAAACATTTATCTGAAAATATATAGAGAGATTCATCATTGATTCAATGTTGGCACAACCAGACAGTTTTTGGAGATCTTCTTCAAGAGATTTAGTGACTGATTACCAAGAATGAATAATCTGATCAATATCTCTACAACCTCACATCATTTAAATTAATGAGGAATTTTCAATGTCCCAACATTTCTGGGGCCACTAGCAGGCAATATAGGAAGGTTTTTTAAAAGCAAATGTAGGTAGCATACATACTTGAAGTCTACAAGTCATGTCCAAAGTCATTTAGAAAATATTTTCCATATTAATGCAAACTACCAAATTGTTCCCAAGAAAAACCACAATTGGGATAATCTTCTAAATCAATTTTCGCATTCTATGGATGTTCCATACATTACAAACAGAGATTGAAACCCCAATATATAGTGTTGGAAAACTGGAAATCTTAAAATAGAATCTATAATTGAAAATATAAATCTCTGATAAAGCCAGATTTAGTAACTCACCCAGAAGGCATTTAATTGTTTCAGCACAATAAATTCTTCTCATTGGTCTTACCATAGCAAAGGGTACAGCGCTGAAGTCTTTCTAATGGTTCATATTCTCCATCTGAAGGCACTGGAATCACTTGAAATGTGCCAGTGTCGTCAAACTGTATTGAAAAAGAAAAACATGCTCATTTGCTCATTTTCTTTAGTCATTATCAGGAAGCCACTGTGCACCCACTTTAAGGATTAGTTGAAAAAACACCTAATGATTATTACCTTGTATTATAGCCCTTTGTTCTATTCAGTGCATCTTTATACACACACACACACACACACACACACACACACACACACACACACACACTATCCTCCTTTTATCCTAAATATCATGCAAAGAAGGATATAAAACAGGTATCAGCATCCCTATTTTATAATGAGAAAACTGTCACAAGATGCCTACCAGATTCATCCAATGGGGCAAGTATTAAAATCTCACTTTTTTCCAATCTTGCATTTCTGTATTGAATTTTTACATGCTTATGACTATGCACCAGCTGATTACGTACCACACATCAGCTTCTGAAGTTGGGTTCTATAGGAATTTTACATTCACAAGTTTTTTTGGCCTCTTTAAGTAGTGACTCCAGTTATTTCCACCCCGATCACTGTATCTAGAAGAAGGCATGCCTTTCAGATGTCCAGTGGACTTCTCAATCACAAATTCCAAATAAAAGTCTATTTCAAAAGGCAGTAGACAGAGCAGTACATCTATTCAAAATTCTTGGTAGTTCACTGCCTGATTTTGTCTGTTTCATTTTTGGCTTTAATACTCACTGAAATGGGCAATATAAAGCAATAATTCATTCATTCAGTCATTCAGTGGGTCAATAACTGTTTATTGGGCACTACTGTGTGAGGCACTATACAAGATGGAAGCCTTTGTTACAATGTAAGAAGTCTACCATTCCCGGGTAGTGATGAAGGTATCTCTCAGTCCACAAAGATGCTCATGCTTTTCCTCCTTCTCCCTTGGGAAATTAAAAGATTAGGAAAACCACACCTGTTTTTCTGTAAAGTACTGAGTGAGCATTTGGAAATATTTATAATCATTCCAGCCTTATGCTTAGAAAGTATTTACTATATTCCTATTCGCTACTTTTTATGAAATTGGATGCTTTGGGTGTTATTTTGTATTTGACCTTATTGGTCAAATATGAAATGCTGCTTTGGTAAATCAAGGAAGTTTGTTCACAGGATTAAACCACACGTTCTTCATTCATTCATTCAAAAAATATTTACTGAATGCCCACAATGTTATAGGTACTGTTCTGGGTGCTAGGGATACAGAAATGAACAAAGCAGATAAAGTCTGTACCTTACATTCAGAAAGGGGACATATAATATAACAAATAAATAATGTAGCATGTTGGGAGGTAATATGTTTAGAAGAAAAAAACGTTGACTTCCTATAGTCCTTTCTATCAGGATTGATTATGACTCTCCCTGTGGCTCCTATTTCTAAAAAAAAAAAAATTCTTGGATATGTTAGAATGCTGATTCTTTTCATTATTTTCCTTTTTATAGTAGAAATGTATTTATATGAAAATAAACCTTTATAATCTCTTGGATGACATGATGGCTTCATACAGCTCCAGAAACATGTATTTCATGGATAAACTTAATATATTTAAAAATAGTAGAACAGCAGATGGAGAGGTTCTTCAGTTTTAGGGGAGGGAGAGGGAAGCATAGATCCCATAAAAATCTGTGGATCCAACAGGAAAGGAACTACTCTTGGGGAAAATGTTCATACTCATCAAACATTTTACACATTAGGAGTTCGAAGATCCCCTAAACTTCATCCCTCAAAGGTTAAGACCAGTTGTTCAATGAGGTGCAGTGAGCAGGTGATAGATTTGAGAAACAGATCTGCAGAAATCTGGTAGAGCCCCATATTCATAAGCCCTAACAGACAGAACAGAGTTTGAAACTTGATTTAGCCATTTAGTAGCTGTACAAAACTGGAGAATCACTCGAACTCTCTGGGCCTCAGTTTCCTAATTTTCAAAGGGAGATAACTGCGTTGACTTCAGAGGGTTGCGATAACGTATGAGTACGTAGGAACAGTGCTGGCACAGAGCAGAAGCTGAGCGAATGTGGCTGCTATTATTATTGCCTACTGTTATTATTAGATATTAGATTTCATGGACCCTGGCAACAATACGGCAGCAAAAACTGCAAAAGCGCTCAAGAGGCCCCATATCTCTCCCTACTCCTTACTATTGCCACCCTGCCAGTATCACTATCTTAAAAATGAAGAAGTTGCCAAGGGATCTTACCCCAAAAGTCTCATCAAGGAAAGCCCTTTCATTAAAAGCAAAGACTGCTGGGCTGATATCCAGGGCACTAAGCTCCATGGTGGCTGCGATGATGGATGACCTACTGGTTGCTTGTCCATTGCTAAAAAACACAGCAACTCTCCTCACATTGGCTCCTGCATATGTCCGCTTGAAAATGTTCCGGGCTACAAACCGCATCACATTACCAATGTCTTGGGCTTTTGCAGGGATTTGATATTTTATTTGGGAAAGAAGCTGGAGGAGTTTTTTCTTGCTATGGTAGTCAGACCAACGGGTGAGGTAGCTGGTGTCTGAGTCATAGGAAGCAACAAGAACTCTTGCTCCCACAGGGCAATTATTTTCTCTGATGTTAAGGTCTTTGACAATAGAAATGATGATGTCCCTCATTTCATTAAATCTCTGCTCTGTGGTACCGTAGGACTGGTCCAAGGCAAATACCAGCTCTGTCGGATACACTGGACACTTTTCTACAAAAATGAAAAGCAGAAGTATTAAGTTATTCACTGCATTGAAAACCTTTCCCACATCCCTTACTCCAATGAGGTTGGTTCACACCAAGGTCTAGGAAAATGCAAGTGTTACATACAGCTCTAGAACTAGAGGTACTCACATGTAAAGGAAGGAAAGGAATCTGCTTTGTTGAAGGTGTTGCATAAAGATGGAGCATTAATATTTGGCTATGTAAAGTACAGACTTCACAGCCTCCCTTCCCTAGTGCCCAGCAGAGTCCCTGGTAGATTCAATTCAAATCCATCAAGTTTTATAGGGCACTTACATGGACAAAGTTTTTTTGTTTCGTTTTGTTTTGTTTGTTTCAGAATTAAAGTGAAAGGCTCCATCCTTTGGGATAAGCTCAAAGATCCTGTGGGTCTACTTCAGCAAGCCTCTAGGAGACCAGGAGCCCCTAGAGTTGATATGACCAGCTGCAACGACAATGTCATCCAAAGGATCTAACATGCTGCGCAACACCAATTACAGTCTAGGCCTTGGGGTGACTATCTCAGAGTCAGGCTGATGAGTGGCAGGCACTTGATGAGATGAAAGGTATGAATGTGGGTCAGAAGGGGGAAGGGAAACATTGCCCGTCCAAGAAGCTGGTGTCCATGGGGTCAAACAGCAGACAGAGAAACAGAATGTGGTCAGTCAGAGAGCCCTGTCACTGAATCCCCCAGCAACACAGGATCTACACTGTGAAGAATTTGAGCTGTAAACTGACAAGACTTAGAAAGAACAGTGTGAAGGGGCTGGGGCTGGGAGTCACCAGTTTATAGTCAGGTTGAAACATGAAATTGACAGTTGTAGTTAAAATCAAAAGACAGAAGTGTCTACATAGAAGGAAGAAGTCCTTTTTTTCCATGGAGAGTGAGGCTTTCTTTCAAATTGGTTTAGTCAGAACACAGTATTTATTTTGGCAAAAAACACAGCATGGTAAGAATACTCACCTTTCCAACAAGCTTTAAAAAAGAGAAAGAGAGAGAGAGAAAAAGAGAGACAGAAGAGTCAGTTACATTTTTGGAATACACACTAAAAATAATCCAAAACAAAAAATTTCAACAAAGCCTAATATTTTGTTTGATTCTAAGTGCACATGAATGTAACTGACTAATGCCTAAGTTACAGGGAGCTAAGGCTCAAGGATTAAGGAAGATACACACAGAATTTTATTAATCTGTGAACCTTCCTGACCCTTTCTCCCTGCGAGTCATGGGCAGTAAACTAGCAGAATTTTGGTTGAGATCTGAAACACTGATCACTTGTCTTAGAAGCAGAATAGATGAGCCTCTGATCAAAAAGCAAGATAACTAAAATTCAATTTGTTTTGTCTCTCCTCTTGTAGCCTTCTGAGAGTCCTTCAGCAAGGCGAGGCTAAAATATGGGGTTTTATTTTCTTCCCTGATGAATATCTTGGGAACCTCTATTTTCCTACAGAACTGTGAGGATTTCCAAATAAACTGTCTTTGCTAAAGAGTAAACACAGCTCCTGCGTTTGAGTGATCTCCATATCTAGAGAGAGGAGGAAATCCCGCCAAAGATTTCTCTTGAGCAAAATAGCATCTGGTTTCTCTAAGGGATTTACTCTGTCAGATGAAGTAGGGGAAATGTCAGCAAATCTTTAAAAAAGCACAGGCCTGACAATTTCTATGCTCATTATACTAAATTCCTAGGAAGCAAATGAGTCACTTCAATATAATGAAAGATTTTATTAGCACCAACAACAAATTGGCTTCCATCCTGCTGTCCCACAGCACATGCTCCCCTCACATCGACCCTATTAACATCTTTTGTCATTAGCCTGTGCATCTCAAGGCCTGAAATAGATCCCTTTTTTTCTGACAGAGAAATTTGTTAACCTCCGACCCAACTTTGAGGCTAGAAGCGCAGGCTCTGGAAATAGATACACATGTCTGGGTTTGAATCTAATAAAGCTGGGTGACTTTGAGGAAACTAGTTGACCTCTTTCAGTATGTTTCTTCTTAAACTTATTTTTCCTAAGAATCTTCTTTACTTATGCCTGTCCCTCCAAAACTCTAATCATTTGGGTCCTCCTGTTTTATTCTCGACCACCCTCCTCTCTCCCCACTCCCCCTGCAGCCTCCTAGATCTTTTATTTTATTTCGGGCGTAAGGTCCGAGCCACCAGCTCAGGACCCGGGTCCTGAACTCTGTGTGGCAGGGAACTTCTGCAGGACTAAAGAGCAAAAATGTTAGACCAGGTCCAACCTGACAGGGCCTTGGTGATGTCATTTATGAATTGAGGCCATTTGAATTAGCTCTAAAGGCCCGTCACCCAACTCCTCATCTAAGGTCTGAATTCCAGAATTCCATGCTCACTGATCAGCACCCCTTCTGGTTATAGAACCTGCCCACTTTCCCCCATCCTTTTAATTTCCTGGCTACCTCCTTTCATTCAGTGTTGGAAAACTGCTTTCAAATCCCAAAGTCTACATAGGGCAGGACATTACCTCCCGGGCCCCTTCACCTCCTTTGGTCTCCTTTGATGTCCCTGAGAAGACCAGCACCACTTTGAGCGCGTCTGACCGCACATTCGTCTCCCCTCCAATGGCTCTCCCTTTGCCCTCTCCCTGTGGCCCCAGGCCTGGTCCTCACCTCTTCCATGCTGGAGAGGGTTTGTGCCTCTCAAGCAATGTCTTTCACAAGGTTCAGTCCCTTTGAATTCTCTCATCACTGTTTTCTTCTTGCTTCTTTTCAAGTTGCCCACATTTGGCAGGACTTCCTCATCTCTGCAATGCCATTTCCTATACGTTGGCCACACTCTTTTTTGCTAAAGTGTCTCCCTAGGTTCAACCCTTGGGGTTCGGTTTCTGTCTCTCTGGTTTCATTCTTTGGAATTTCATCCATCCAAGTGGCTCTAAGGACTAAAGCCCTTGAGTGATTTCAACAGCTGAGTCTCCTTCCCTGGTCTTCACCTTTATTTCAGTCCCATTTCATCAGCTGCCTGTATTTTATTTTAATTTAGGGCCTACCTCTAAAATGTTTAAAGTCACCATGTTTTCCTACCAATTGATTTCCCTTCGCAAATCCTCCGCCTCCTGATCCGTGGTGATACTAAGCTATTAAGCTACGCCTCTCCCCATCTGCCACATGCTTGCAATGACTACATTCTCATCCAGTCCCCTTCAGTAAAGTCTTTCCAATTTTCCTATTTCGCATTCTTCTAATCGTGATTGTATAAGCATTATTATACACCACATGTAAATGAAGAAAGACTAATCACCTAAAATTCTACCACCCAAACACAATAAGTTGTTACATTTTTCTACCTTTGTCTCCAGTATATTTCTATGTATATATATGCACATATATATATTTACATGTAAAAATAACAAGGATTCAATTTAATTTTCTGCTTTTTAATGGCAATATTTTTCATATTCTGACTTCATAAAAACTATATCTGCCTAATATTTTATCAGATGATATACCATAACCTAATTATTCTATAAGTGTAAAGAGTCTGAATGTATAGTTATTTTGTTTTAATGAATATTTCAAAGATCATCTATAATTTTTTCCTTCTTTTGTTTTATTTCCTTAGAATAAATTTTCAGAAGTGAGTCACTGGGAGTTTTCTACCTCATTCTCCCCTTCTTCATAATTAAAGACAATGTTTATTGACTCCTGTTTTATTCTTTTGCTGAAACTCTTGTTTTGTCACTCCCAATTACTTCTTTATAGCCAGATTCAATTAGCTCCATCCAAGGAGCCTTCATTAAGTAAGTAAGTAATCGACTAACCCGAAACTCCCTGCTCACCCCTTTAACCTCATGCTCTCTCAGGCCTTTGTACATAACTGGTGTAAGTGTCAGCTTATTCACCCACCATGTGAGTTGGTCTCTAATTGTTTCCCATAGGCATGTTTTCTCTTGCTGTAGGAATCGCACCTTATACATTTAAGATGAGTTAAGGTATGCATCACTTACTTACACCCCTTTTCCTCCCACCTTTGATGCAAGCTGTTCCTACAGAAGGCACATCTGCCTTCTTCATCAGCGAAGTCCACCTCCTCATTCACATACCCACACTGCCTTCGTCCCAAGTGCCCTCACCAATCACCGATGCACTTGTCCTATGACACATAGATACTCACGACTATGGTTCCGCATGAACTGGATCAGATCACATTGCTGTCAATAAAAACAGGGAGAGGGAACAGAAACATGAGCACAGTGACCTGTGACTGGCTATATTTATTGGCCGGTGGGCGGGCTGGGTATTCTTTCATGAATAATATTCTTTCATGATACTTACAGAATATACAGGCTTCCCAGGCATGCCTTTAGGGCCCTAGGAAAATAAAATCAGAGCAAGTTATTGGTATGTGAATTGAAGTCTTTAATGTCAAAACAAAAGCAAAGGAAAAGACCTTCTTTCTTAAAGGCACAGCTGGCAGAGAGCAGTGAATTGGTGGATTATAATGCTCTTTCTCCACTTAAATCAAGAGGACAAACTTTTTTCAGTGTTAGATCAATTAAACTAAAATCTACCCAGAGTGAACTGAATCATTTACCTAAGGTAAGAAGTAAAGAAAGGAGAGTATTTCTTAAAGACATTTGTACTAAAGCGGATATAACACTTAGAAGGCATTTCTCATTAGAAAAGTTAAAATTGTAAACAGCAGATTTCCCAAAGCATGGCACCAAGGAGAGGATTTACAGAGAATCCAGAGTTAAAGGTACCTTACAAATCGAGGTGTTTAAAATGCAAGTAGCAGCATACAACCTCTACATACGCGAAATAACCAAAGACAATTATGTAGCTAAATGAGCATTACACAAAAGAAAAGCATACACATTAAGCTCATAAATGCCGAGAGATTACAGAACAAAGGAGTAATTGAGTGAGATTAATCAGGGAAGTTTCCTGAAATTAGGCAGTCGATCCCTCTGGGCAACTGATGAATGCTAGGATGCTGGCTTCAAAAAATGCTATTACATGGTCATATTAGTACAGTATCACTGCCTCCCCAGCTGCTCAACTGTGGATAGCAGTACAAGAATCTTTTTTCTAAATGACAACGGGGTATCTGTCCATCCATTCATCTAATACTCAGTTAAATGTCTGCTGAGTGCTGAGGTGCCCCACTGTGTGCTGCTGGTATTAACCAGAACTATTGTAGCCAAATCTCTCTAGAGTCTAAATTTTGTGGTATTCATGATTCTACCTATGGGGGAATATTTTCTTCCGGACCCAAATCAGGAAAGTATGCATCTCACTAAATGATGCTGAGTCATAACCTTCCCTTTACAAGTTATGGCAGAAAACAGGAAAAAAAAAGAAAATGCGCAGCCACATATACAGAGAGAGAAACAGTTTCTGGCCAATAAATAAAATAGGCAGCCCACATTTTAACAGAGAATCAGAACTGTAGAGTAGGTCCTAAAAGACTTAAGAGTAACTTTGTTTTTAAGCAGAGGCAGAGGATCGAGGGCCTGAGACAAAGAAGCCACATTCTACTGTATTGGCAAGGGCTGAACACAAGACCAGGAAGATCTGGGACCCTCCAAATGAGAGCTCCAGAATCTGGACAGGACATAAATCCAGACTGGACCAAACTGGCTCACAGACTAGATTTTTACCCACACGACTAAGAATATTTGCCAGTTCTTTGATGTGAAAGAAAGAAAAGATTGTATCAGAATACTCGTTATAAGTAGGTAATTCTCGTCTTACTATGGATTCAGTCGTTCACAAAACACCCACTTTTTTTGTTTTCTTTATGAAGTCCCAAGTTAAAGAATCCATCCAGGTAGTGAGAAAATATTCATAATGCACAGACAAGATTAGCAGTTTCTCCACTTCTTACGCAATGCTGCCTGTGCCTCCTACACAAAACACAGGTGCTGGCAACATTTAGTTCTTACCTGACTGTGCTCATTAGGGGAGAGAGACATGTAAATAAATCATCACAATAACATGAGAGGAACTAAAATAGAGATGCAAATATTTCATCAGAGGGAGATGTGCTCGACTGCCAGGAAATGCTTTCAGAGCTAACATTTCTCTTATAATGGAATCATAGTGGAAAGTTGCAGGTATATGTCCAAATCTCTCTACAGTCTAAATTTTGAGGATAGGTAGGCAACAATAATGGCTTCGGGAAACTCTAGCAGCTTGTCTAGCGTGATAGAACTTTGCCGGGACACCTTTACGAAGCTTATGCAACCGATCCTGTTTTAAAACTTCAGTAAAAAAATAACAGTAACAGCTAATATTTGCATTTGACAGTATAGTTTACAAAGAGTATTCACTTTGGATTATCTGATCCTCATGGCTACCTTTTGTGAGGTGGTTAGCACGGGATATGTCATTCCCATTTTAGAGGTAAACTGAGAGACTCAGGAACTGGCCCAAGGCCACATAGCTAGTAAGAAACAGAATCTGGTCTTGAACCCAGTGGTTCTGACTTTAAACTCCGTGTCTTTTCCATTAAACCTAGAAACCTAGGAATCGGCATACTGTATGTGACTTAGTACATGTGGGAATACTTACTCTTCGTCCAGGAGGGCCTTGGAGTCCTTGAGATCCCTCCATACCTTTCAAGCCCCCAGGGAGCTGCAGACAGAAATATGCATTACCTTCCACCTCCTCTTCCATGGGACTACCTCAGTTTTAATGCGACTTTATAATTAAAACAATATTTTTAAAGAAAGCAACTATTAATTCAAGTCAAATAAATTCATTACTTGTAATATAAACAGCCATTCTTAATCATTGATAAACATGCGTTTCCCTCTTAGCCTCTTCATTTAGTGACATACTTTACTCTGGCACTGGCAGTACATTTAAATTTAAATTAGTCATAAGCTAGGTTGGTGCTAAAAAAAATAAAAAGCAAATATAATAGACACACAGAGATCTAATAAAAAATTTCCCATCTGCAAAGGATCAAATACAAAAAAATAATAGCCCATGTACATAAGAGGATATGGGTGGGCTATGTCATTCCCATACCTCAAGGTGATGGGTCTGGGTGCTAATGAAATTTACCAGCCAGATGGAAAGTATCTGTTGAATTGAATCTCTTCCACAGATAATGACTACTGACATTACATTCAAACTTTAAAATGAAAGGACGCTTGTCTCAGCATTTTGCTTTTAAATAAGTATAGCATTCCATTCTGTACTTTGCTAATTAGATCTCAACAGCCTTCTTTAAAATGAATACCCCAGATGACCTTGGTTATAGATAGTAGAATTGTCAGAAAATCCTCAGAGACACAGCAGAAAAATGTCAACTTCATTTCCACTCATAGGATTAATATTCTGGGCTTTCATATGTGCCTAAGAAAAGAGCGGAAGAGCACTGACAATCCTTGGAACAGCCAGTTATCAATTTGTAAATCTTTATAATAGTTCAGAGTCATGGAACCTTAGACTTTTAGAGTTGAAAATGACCTTTGGTGTCATTAAGTTCAACTTTCATATTATAGAAATAGAGATTCTGAAAAGGTGTGTTGAAGATCATACATCTAGGAAGTGACATTTCAGAAGCCCTTGGTTTGGACTGATAATCTCCACTTATTATTACAACATAAAAGCCAGAGTCTTCCATAAAAGCATATATTATTTCTGGAATTACTTACTCTTAGTCCCCTAAATCCTTTGGGTCCGGGCCCCCCAGGAATTCCAGGATTGCCAACTTCACCCTGAAAATTCAAATATAAGAAATCAATGTTTAATCAAATGTTAAAATATTTGCTATAAAAAAATAAAAATAATTATCTCCAATCCAAAACCCAATTGATCTTATAATGATACTATATAATAAACACTGAAAGTCATCTATCGTTTGGTACTAAGTCATTGATACAATTAGATATTCTGAAAACTATTTTTAATTTTCTAAGAATACAAATATTTATGTATAAATAGCAATGTATGGCTATCCACTCAGTCACTAAAAATATCTAAAGAAAAATGCTTGTAAATCAGGGAAAACATATGGATCATTGACTATATAAAATACTAAATAATGAATTGCTTCCTAAATTTATGAATTATTTCTGAAAAAAATTGAAGGTAAAAAATATTTACTGTGACTTCGGTGGGAAACTAATTTTAACACTTATTTATCAATATGCTAATTTTACATTTATTCCTAAATTGAAATGTGCTAATTTTCTCCCTTTATCAGTAAATTAGGAAATCGGTCCTCTTCAATGAGAACTTTTGTCCTAACGGTCACTTATATAGTCCTTTCTTGCACACTTCTCTACCTAAGAAAAGAATCTCTTTTGGTAATTCATCAATTAATAGCACTTTTTAAAAAATGCACTTTTAAAAGAGTTCAGATGTTGACTATTTTCCTGTAGTCGATTTGATTTGCCTAATTAGACACTATTTTTTTTAACTCATATTTTGAATTTTATTTTGAGCATCAAATATGTTGACCACACTCTTCTAGACAGGACAATTTTTAAATAAAGGTAATCTTATTAAATAACTCCCGTGTATAAAACAGATAATAATGAGAACTACTTTGATTGAAATGGAAGGTCTGTCTGGTTCTAGAGCATGAAGATGGATTTCAGTCTGGTAGGTGATGAGTAATTCTGGAAGATGTTTGGTCAGGAGAGTAACGTAATTAGGCTATGCTTTGGAAGTGACGGTGCTGTCTGGGATGAACTGCAGCAGGGAGAAGTTGTAAGTAGGAGATCAATAAGAAGAATATTGTCATCTTTCAAGTGAGAGGAAATAAAGGCTGCAAAATATGAATGACAAATAGCAATAGCTGAAGCCAAAAGTTTTGAACGAGATCACCGAGGAAGAGAAATCAAGAAGACAAAGGACTAAACTTGAGAGGATACCTAGAGTTAGGGTTTCAAGATAAGGCACATCAGGCAATGAAGGACAGGACAATCTTTTCCAATTTAAATGTTCATGGGAGTTAAGGATGGTCCTCTCTTCATGAAGCCCAGGCAAAACAACTGCCCTGCTATGTTTTTTATTTGTTTATTTGTTTGCTTCATTGAGATCTACAAGCTTATCTCTGTTCTCAAGTAGAAGGTTAAGATCATGGTAATGTCAACAGAAGGTCACATGCACAATACCTTTTGCCCCATATCTCCAGGAAATCCTCTTGGACCCTATAATTTTCAGCAAAGAACATAAATAAATCGACACATCACTTCTGCAGTATGACCATTTTTACTTCTATTATTTAGGTTTGGTTCATCAATTAACAAAATAATTGCTTTCCATATTTACCTTTACTCCTTTTTGTCCCATGTGACCATAGCCTGGGATGCCGTAATCTCCCTGTGAACATATCAGTTTATTTCAGTATCTCAAAATTGAAAATCAACTGTAATCTATACTGGGGAAATTATAATGCCAGGAGAGAAGCACTGGGGTCTTCCAGGTGGAGAAGGCCTAGTTAGTGACCTTGAACTCTGGAAATATGCTTGTTGTTGTGTTTCCTCACTTTCTGGTATGTGCCCTGGTACTTTTTTAGCCAGCTCTACTCTTCAAACGTTGCATAAGTCATTCAGAACTCATGGAGTCAGTGGCTATTATTTGTCTGAGAAATTAGGAGCTGGTCCAGAGGTCATGAGTGAGGAATTCCCCTCTAAAAAATTACAAATGGCCAATAGACATATGGAAAAACGTTATCCTCACTAGGAACCAAAGAAATACAATTTGAAACAGTAATGTGATACCTTTTTTTTTTTTTTTGGTAAATAAAATTGGTAAAGATAAAAATAAGAAAGTGACAATACCCACTGTTGGTAGGGATGCCCAGAAGGAAGCACTCTCCTGCATAACACATGGGCGCATATATTGTTTGAATTTTCCTAAAGGCATTTTGCAATAGAGTTCAAGCCTTAATTGTATACATAATCTTTGACCTAGTTGTGCTACTTCTAGAAATTGTTATGTAGAAATGAATTATGGTTTTGTTCAAAAAAATTTAGTTAGGTACAAGAATGTTCACTTCTGCACTGTCTATGACAGTGAAAAATTTAAAAAATCCAATAATAAGAGATCAGTCAAATGAAATAAAGTACATACATTCAGTAGAACATTTTGAAGTTATTAAAAATGATGTTGAGGGAAAAATATAATGACATGGGAATATGCTCTGGTACATTGTTAACAGGGAAAAATAGAGTGAAATTTTTTTTTTTTTTTGTATCTCTAGAATGTTAATAATAAGTATCTCAAAATGGTGGGATTGCGGAAAATTTTTTTATTTCTCATTTTCCATCTTTTATGCTTGGTAAGTTTTCCATTATACCCATGCACAACAATTATGATAAACATTTTTTAAAATGAATAAAAAAGTTGTTCCTATATTAGCTGCTCCATGGACCAAGAACCTGGTACAGCCAGAGCCACTGGAACAGATGCCCCCTTTCTTGGCCCTACTCCTCTCTTCTTCTTGTTGCTCTAGAGTTTTCCAAGAAGGGAAGAGAAATAGGTGGAGCCATTTTTCAACTGACATGTGTCTATAGGGCCACATTGGTTGTCGATATATTGAAAAGTCCTCTATAGCCTCTTTGCATGCCCCCCTTCTCTCTCACTGTTCTCCCTAACTTTAACAGACTAGCTACAGAATGAGAGCTGCATGGGGTGAAAGAGATGTCCCAGCATCTTCCCAGAAGGTTCTGAAACACTACCCAGGTACTTTGACTGATGGAACTCAGCACTTGGAACTGGGGAAGGGTAAGAGTCCTAAAACCTCACACCTGTTTTCCTCGCTGTCCAGCTTGCCCCACTGGCCCAGGATCTCCAGGGATTCCAAGTTCTCCCTAGTAAAATGAGACAAGAAGAGCTTTAGCCTAGTTCCCACCATAGGAAGTTCTGTCCACCAGTTGGGTAGACTTAGGGCTCTCGGTGAGGGTTCAATGCCCAATAAGGAGATAGGGTATTGGAAACTAATAATGATTTCCCCAAAAGTGAGCAAAAAACATCAGCACAACTCAGGGCTGGACTCAGTGTTACAGAAGAACTGAAGGAGTAGGCAAAGAGTGGAAAATGTGCTCCAGGGAAAGTTGTTAATTTGCCCATCCAACAATTATTTACTGTCATGGAAAATAAACTGTTGAATATGACAGGTATCGTCCTGGTTGGAAAGACAGACAATTAGACAGGCAAACCTGGGTGATAAAATTCAGGGTACTATGGCAGCAAAGAGAAGGAGAATTTCAATTAGATTTGGTGGGGCTACAAAGCTGGCTACCTGACAAAAAGGATCATGGATGCTGAGGCTTGAAGGCTGAGTTGTGTGAGCTGGAAAATGGATCAAAGGAGGAGTGAGAATGATCCAGGGGGAGGGAAAGCACTAGTTCGAAGCCTGGGGGCAGGCATACAGGAGAAAGAAGAGCTACAAAACCTCAGAATTAGAGTCTAACAGCAAAGGGCCTTCTAAGCTACTTTAAAGTCTGGAGATTTTCCTAAAGGCCGTGGGGAAATTAAGACTAGCTACATAACTTGTGGGGTTCAGTGTAAAATGAAAGCACAGGTCTCTTGCTCAAATCTTAAGCCTTTCAAGATGGTGACAGCAGAGTATTAAATCAAGCATGAGGCCTTTCTAAGCAAGGCCTCCTGTGTGACCGCACCAGTTCCAGGCCCCTGAAGCTGGCTTTGGGACAGGGAGTTGCTGAAAAATTTTAAGCAAGGGGGTGGGATTCCAAATAGGCCAAGAGTTTGTTCTCCGATAATCTCTAACAGAGCCACTGCAGAGAAGGTAGGATGAGTTTCACAGGTAACTACGTGCACAAATAGATTTGGGTTCTGACACCTCCCACTCTTGGCCCAACTCTGCCACGGTGTGCATTCATGCATTCAGGAAATCAGGATGTTGAAGAGGTTTTTCAGTGTCGTTTCATGATGAGTGAGATCACTGTCTCTCCTAGTGAAATGGGGCAGTTTCATGAAGAGGTAAGCAGTTACCACCCAATGGAAGGAAAAGAATATATTAGCAGAAAGTTGGTGGGTGGGTGATGGAATCATGTGAGGAATTAACATGGAAATCAAGAAAAGAATGGAAATAGTTTTTTCTCAGTATTTGAAACCTATACGAAATCTATTACTTTTTTTCCCAAAGGTCCAGGTCTTCCAACGCTCCCTTTCGCTCCCATTGGCCCAGGAGAACCCTGAAAGGAAACAGGAAACAGAAATGTTTGTGCTACAGCAATTCTCAGAACACTCATTAGATAAGTTCCGCTTTCCTTCATGCCGTTTCCAACAACTCCTTGATGCCTCCTTAACAAGAAACCCAGCAACCCAAGGGAGATATCTGGGCTGAAGTCAGATGATTCAGGCTACAGTCCTGGTCAGAGGACCACAAGCCTTCATCCACAGGGATGCTACTGTCCGTATGGGACCTTAGTGAGAAACAGAAAAGGTGCCTTTGACTCGACACACAATATTTCTGAATATGGCAAATTTGTTGTAATGCACAGATTTTGTTAGAACATAGTATTTTGCTGTCACTGGCACTTTTGTGCACTGCACCATGCACACATACAAAGCGGTGTGCAGAATGGGTTTCATTTTCCCAATCTGAAATGGGTGAACATGTCTTTCACAAACACGCTAGGAAGATTACTGAGCAAACACAGGCATCCCTCGCCTTCTGAACTCTCACCAGCTGAGCTGAAGAACTGAATAGATTCAGAACATTTTTCATATGAATCCCTCACTATCCAAACTCTCATTACTCACTGTTAGAAATTTGGGAACCAAATAGATTCAGAGGGTGAATTCGAAGTTGGACTTGGGAGTTAAATAAATTTGAGTAGTGAGGGATCTTTGTAAAAGCAATTTTAAATATCTGCAGTCAATGTAGATATGCACGGCACAGATACTTTTTAAAAGTTAGAAAAACCAGCCTAATGTATCAGGTTTCAAAATGTTCATGAGTCAGCAAGATTTGTATTCGTCCAAATGCTTTCTTCAGGCTGATGAAATGGGTCTGCACTTCCCAAATAAAACTCCAGTAAAGGAGAAAGAGGAGGGCTTATGCTATATACAAGGAATCTGAGCTGTGCTAAAAATTTGTCCCCAATTTTTTGTCCCAAGACAATCCAAAAGTGAAATGCTTCCTATGTAGGTAATATAAAATAAACTATATATGAAGTTGTTTTTGAAGCAGGAGGGAAATAAAGGTTGGAGACAACTGACTGTAACATTTCTGAGTCACTCACCTGAGGTCCTTTGTGCCCCTCTCTTCCCATCTCTCCTTTCCTGCCAGGAATTCCGTTTAACCCCTTTTGTGGCAACAAAAGAAACATAACATAATGAATTCAATGAGAACTTACTTTCCTCATTAGTGCTTTTGAAACAGCCCCATAGAAAAGCAATGGTCCAACCCTTCGAGCAGCCTTTTAACTCTGAGATTAAGCGTCTGTTAGAAGAGGAATTGAGGGGAGACCCAGATGCAGGGGTGCAGATCTTATTATGGAATTCTCAGGCTGGATATAAGACCTTCATCTCTTTCTGAGAGGGAGAAATGAAAAAGAGACTAAAGGGAGAAATAAAATCCATAGGAGAAGGAAGGACTACAAAACCAACTGTCAGATGGATTCTTTTGATGGGGCGGGTTCCCTGGGCCAAAGTGCTTTCGATGTGTAAAATACGGAGCAAAGTTGTTTCAAGTTAGCAGAAAGGGACATTTTAGCAGCAGACCTCATCAGGTATATTGAAGAACATTTTCTGCCATATTTACCATCAAATGTATGGTTCTTATATGGTTCTCTTACATAGAAGGAAAAAAATAGAGGTGCTGGTAATGTTTCTCATTACCAAAGCACCAGTTGGAAAATGGCCCTGGCTGCTCCCTACAAATGGTGGTTGGAGCCACTGGGCTAGCCTTGGTTCACTGCCTAAGTATTAAAGAGACCCTGGAGTAGTGGAGGTCACGTTACCCCTCTCTCCGCAAAGCCTGGGAATGGATCTCAGTTGGTCCCACGGCTAGTCATTCTAGAAGACCTGCTACCTTGTGGCTTGGGTAAGGGACTCCAGAACCACTCAAGAGAATCCCAAATTCCAGTTGAGTATTACTAATCTGAAACTTCCTAAAAGAAAAATGAATTCCTGGGAAGGTCTTAGAATGGACACATCTACACAGGCCTTTCCAGACCAGTTCAAGTTTAAAGTGGACTCCATATGGTGACTAAATATCCTTGTGTTATGAAGCCATTCTCCAGGAATGACTAGCATCTTTCTGACACGGAAGAAAGACAGATATGTCCTGACTCTATCGCCCACATCACTAATGATATGACCAAGAAAAAATGCAAATGGCTCACATAAAGCCCTATTGGTGATATACCAGAAGCACTATCATCCTGTGTGGAGTTAGCTTTAGGTAAATTGAATAACAGTTTCTGATTCCTAACTTTCCTTCACGGCAGTCTGTGGGCAGGACCTCAGCTAAGGAAGGAAAACCAATTTGTTATTGATTACTAATAAAATATTAAGGTCTTAATAATTCATTATTACTACCATGCAGACAAAATACCAGGTGAGCACAAGAGCATGCCTTTTTTCTATCAGTGAGCTGCAAATGTAAGAGCAAATTTGATGGAGCAAAATTACCCAGCTGCGATGGGAAATGAGGGATTCCAGAGACAGGTGCCATGGAGGTGGGAGAGGTAGATTACAAATTCTTTCTTTCTTTCTTTTTATATAGAACTGCCTGCCATCTTCCCATCGGAATAACTCAGCATTATTTATCAATATTTATGAAATATCCCAACATACCTGTGGGCCTTGTAATCCTTCAGCTCCCTGTGCACCTTTAGGTCCAGGATTTCCCGGCTCCCCCTGATGAATGAGAGTTTTCCGTGTTAAGGTTTTCTCCACATAGTTTCCATATAGATTTTCTCTTTAGAGTACCTAGTACTGCAGCACATAGTATACAGGTATTGTTTTGTTTTTCTTGGCTTATACCCTACTTTGCCCAGGATTTTACTCTTCTATATTGTCTAAGAAATGAAAACAAGGTTTTTGATTCTAGTAAAGAAGTTCGCATTATTGTAATCAATTCTCAAGGCATGCGAAAAGCATTCAAGTGCAAACATTTGGGATTACACGGGTCCTCTTGTCTATGAAGTGTCTGTGGAGGAGGCTTTGCCTTAATCAGGCCTGTCTTCTTCCTGGCACCTGAACTTGAGGACACTTATGTTCCCCTCCCCCTTCCCCATCAGTGAGAATCACCTCCAGTGCCTTGCACTTCCTACAACATCTTTGTCAAATGCTCATTCATTACCAGTGCCATTTCAAGTGAGAATCTCCTTGGCCTCATCTACCAAAGAAAACAGGAAGTAAAGGGCACTCACCGGGGCACCATAGTGTCCTCTTTGGCCTTCTCTTCCCTGGAAGAGAAAAGACAAAGTGTTAGTACATGGGCATTCTTTATAGGCAAACCAGCCTGTCTCATTCCCTAACAGACATAAGTAACAAGCAGCTCAAAGGAATGGCTTCCTCAAAGCACTTTCCAAAAATGAGTTTTCATACTAGGCACTTAATTATAGATTAACATTTGGGGGATTGACTGAAAACCAATCTAAAAGTCATTGTAGACCCAGCTCCAGCCTGACAAACTCTTACAATTATCTAGGAGGCTGTTTGGAGAATCAAACCATTCTGAAGAACCTGCCTCTACCTTTCCTCTTTGGCAAATCCCATAAAGCACTGTCTGCTCATCAGAGCCTTCCTGCATGAGATGGCCACATCCATCTCTCTCTGTCCTGAGCCCCTGAGTGTATCTTGGGAGAGAGCAAAATATTGTTAGATACAGTGCTTCCTATAGGCCCACTGGGGGTTGTTTCCATGGAATTCTACAAGGAAGAAATGACTGATAGGGTCTGTTCGACTTTGTGTGGTCCAAATGGCACCTCCAGGTTCATCAGAGAAAATCTGGGCTGAGCTCTGAAGCCAAAATCTGCACCTATTCAGAAGTGATTTCAGGTTGCTAGCTCAGGTGCTCCACCCAGTGGCTATTTTTGCCACATGTTCTTCTTTCCAGAAGGTTAACCAACGGGAAGATAATTCAGGCCCCAGATCCTAACTTCTTTTTCCCTAAACAGCAATGATAAAGTCCGTGCTCTCGCTTCCCAGGCTAACACACCTGCCTCTTCAAGAGAGCCGTGGCACGTTTCAACCATCAATTTACTTTGTGTTGTGATGAACAACTATGATTACTTTAGGTACAAAACAAACACTTTTTAAAATTCTATTCATTCATTCATTGAGTCACTCATTGATTCATTCAGAAAGGTAGCCATGGAAATCATTTCAGAAACACTGCTTTTTTCGACTGCTCACTTTCTGAAGCTTTTTAGAATAAACTACCTGACCAAATATTAGCTCCACCGGGTTGGCTGATGATTAGAATTTCTCCATTGAAGTTGAGGTTGTGCCCCTTGATTCAGGCACTCTTTGCTTTTAAAATGCAAATACCCTTTGGGAGAAGTCACCCATTGTAACTTGTCAGCTGTTTGTACTTTGATATAACTAATAGAACTCTTGACATATGAACGCAGAGAAGAAACAGTAAAGAAAGGTTGAAGTCACTGTTTTCACAATGTCATAATTCTATTCATTAAAAAACAAGGATAAAATAGCATTTATTCTGTGACAAACAGTATGCACAATGTTTAGGGGCGTGTCCTTAGAAGTCAGGCAATCTCTAGCTCGACCATTCCCTTTAAAGCCTGTGTGGCAAAGAGCATTTGTACAATAAACTTTAGCCAAGGTGATTAGGAGCACAGACTCTGGAGTGCAACAGTCCGGGTTCAAACCCCAGCTCTACCATTTATTACCTATCTTGATCCTGGACAAGCTGTCCAAGATTCTTTGTTTTCTCATCCGTAATCTGTATATAACAATAGTATCTACCCCATAGGTTTATCATGAGGATTAAATAAATTAATATTTGAAAGTAATCTGATCAGCACCTGGCATAATATAGATGCTATAAAACAGCGGTCCCAAGCTCTATGGTATCAGGGACCAGTGCTTCTATGAGAATCTAGTGCCTGATGATCTGAGGTGGTGCTGAGGCAGTGATGCTAGTGCTGGGGAGTGGATGCAAATACAGATGAAGCTTCACTCAACTGCTGTGCAGCCTGGTTCCTCACAGGCCACAGACCGGTACGTACCCATCTGTGGCCCGGAGGTTGAGGACTCCCGCTATAGAAGTATAAATGCTATTATTTATAAGTATTCTTTATGTGTGACAGGAAAAAAGCAGTAGGCCTGGAATGTGATTTCAAGTTCACTGATCCATTTTGGGGGGGCAACAGCTAGTACAATTATTAATTTATATAAGTTGAAATTCTGTCAAACAAGAGGCAGTGTCTTAGGTTTGCTTGTGTTCTTAGAATTTATCAATCTCTTAAGATCCTCTGCCCCTCATTAAGAATTCCGGCCTTCACTGGAAAGGTGGCGGTGAGAGTAGAAAAGTTTACTTTTCTAGAAAAGCTTACAGTGTTGTTTTATATCTACACTGCCTTACTTAATTCAAGAGAAAAGAGTTTGCAGAGGAGGAGATGGGCAGGAAATTGTGTGAAGATGGGGGAGGGAGCGTGAGAGTTTCCTGTCCTTGGAGTGACTTAGAGTAATGGGCTGGTTTGTCCAAGCAGTAATCCCCTGCCGCAGCCCTAAAAGTTCTTTTTTAAAAGTGCATAATTGATGGTGACAGTTATAAAGCTATTCCAAACTAAAAGAATTTTCCCTTGAACAAAAATACACATTTATCTTTAAAATTTATAGCATGTGTTTCATCTTGCTACTCTCTTAATTCTTCTGATTCATTTTAATTCTCTTGTGTGGAAAAGAGGGCAAAGTCCCAAAGAATTTTACCAGAAGCCCTGGGAAGTCTAAGCCATCCTATCGTAGATTCTTTTCCTTAAAACTATGATTCGAGATAAAGAAAAAGGGGAGGAAATAAAACACATTTATCCACTATCTATCCCAGAGAGAAAGGCAATCAACCATAGCCTTCTAAGTGATAAGAAGATTCCAAATGGGTAAGAGAAAAGAAAGCCAAGTATTTTCCATTCCCTCTTGAACAAAATTTAGGGCCAGATCTAAGATGTTGTACATTATTCTCATTCTATGATCTCCATGCTAAGCGCATGATAAGGAATTTCTAACATGTTATAAATATCATCTCTAACTTTAGTAGTCCACAGAGAGAAAGCAATTTCTTGGTTGTTCCTTAAAAAGAAGAGGAAATCCAATGTTACTGTTTTAGGCTTGATGTCACACGAGATGCTATAAAGTTACCCTAAGATCTCAAGGTTGCCACTGGCTTGGGCCTAACTGCCAGTGTTTTGGTTCATTCAGGAAGAATTTATCTATGATTCTTTTTTCCCAATGGTAATATATGAAGAGTATTTACCCAGTTCGTAATAATCTTATTTAAGCTCAAAGATGCTAAGCTACTCGAGGAGGGCTTTTGTGTTATGGTTATTGACTCTCTTCAAAAGACATTCAAAGCTTCTGGAGGGTAGAAAGAGACAAGCAAACTATGTCACAGAGGTCCTCAAACAGGGGCAATTCTGCCCCCCGCCACCACACCCCCAGAGACATTTGGCAATGTATGCAGACATTTTTGCTTGTCACAACTGGAGGGAGAACGTGCTCCTGGTATCCAGTGAGTAGAGACCTGGGATGCTGTGAAATAGCCTCTAATGCACAGGATAGCCCCTCACAACAAATTATCTGGCCCAAAATGTCAATAGTGCCAATGTATCAGCCCTGGATCAGCCAACTCTGCAGCAAAAAATATTCTGAATGTCTCTATGGCATCTCCAAATGATAAGGAGGGAAAATAAATGTCCACGGAAATACTTACCCTGCTTCCTCTGGGACTAGGACTGCCTTGTGTCCCTTTCTGTCCGGTACTACCCTAGAAATACAACAGTTCCCCAAGATCATAAGGCAAAATATTCTGAATAAATTACAAAGGCAACAGCATCTAAACCTCAAGCATCTAAAACAGCAGAACGAGAATGTCATGCTAAAATCTTTCTGGACATTAACACTATTGGGTATATATCCATATCTAGAGAAAAATGGTATTGTAACACGCACTACTACTATCAGTTTTCCCATATAATACCACCTTGTAGAAACTTAATAATATTGTCCATGTTATAACCTACTACAGATATAAGGCTCTTTTAAACGTGAATTTAAGGGTGTTTGTTCAATTACAGAAGACTTACATATTTTACTAAATAATTAATTTAGATTTTATGAAAGCTTCAGCTCAATAACAGAATTAATCAACTCTCATGTAAAATAGATCCAATTACTTGTCTTCCTTGTTCTCCTTTGGAGCCCTTCTGTCCTTTGATGTTATTGTTTTGTCCTGGATTACCCTAGAGAAAGATTTAAAAAGTATTTCAGAATCAAGAAACAGCATCTTTCTTTCTTTCTTTTTTTTTTTTTTTTTTTTGCAAAATGGTACAATGTTCAAGTAAATACTAAAGTTATTTGGATTAAGTGACCAGGGGTGTTAGAAAATTCTCCATGTTTGAAACTCAGAGTTTTTCCTGTTTAGAAAAGTATAGCTCACTGCCAGTGTTAACACCACACGTAGGAATGCTATGTTTTCTAGGATTCGACATTTCAGCGATCGAGAATTACTAGAGTTTGTAAATGAAAATACCACTACTAAAAACAGAATGCTATAAATAGAATGATGTCATTTGTTTTCAAAGACTATCAATATACTAGAGTGATGTGAAAATAATAATAAAAGTGAGATTTTTTGTGGCAAACTTCGGGGGTAGGTTAGGACTGCAATCCATGAGTTACCTCGGGGTAAATGCTGCAGAGGCAAGTATTCTCGGGTCAAACAGGAAAAGGGTTAAAAAATGAAAGTAATATTTCCCCAAGTTTGAAGGGGACTTGGTGATAAATGACGAATTATAAGAGTGCATGCTGAAGCCATGATGAATTTCCTCTTTGTATTAGCAGTTCACTGATGCACTAGTCCAAATTTGCTTGTGCCACTCCCTCAAAGATGCATCAAGAACCCCCTGTAATCAAGTCTGTGAATAGGAAATCTGCAAGATCAGAAGGCCAAATGGCAAAACTATGGGAATTCAACCCCTCCCCTGACAAAGGAACTTGAAAGTCTCAACACACCATAAGGATGAGTAAGATGGAACTTTAGTTCCCAGTTCTGAATTTTTAATCAGCCTAGATCAGATGCAGACAGACTTTTCCCAAACAAATATAAGCCTTGGTCAACCTAACTCCCTCATTCTCAAGACAAGTCTTTGCCTACAGGTTAGCAGGAGACATTAGGGAAAGGAAATAGAAACTGTGGAGCAACTAGAAATTCAGAGCTAACTGGGCCCTTAACTTACAGGATCCCCTGGGAAGCCCTTCTCCCCATATCCCCCAGGGGGGCCTCTGGAACCTGGGCTGCCCTGCAAAAAAGAAAATGAACTTCTGAGTTAGCTTGTAGGAGGGTTTTACAATGATATTAAAATGTCAAGAGTTGTCTGTTGGTTTTTTTTAAATTAATTTATTAATTGATTGATTATTTTATGGTGACATTGGTTAATGAAATCCAGTAAGTGTCAGCTGTTACTTTAGCAGTAAGGCATATATATATATTTACACTGTGTGTTCACCTCCCATAGTTAGATTTCTTTCTGTCACCACGTATTTGACCCTCCTTACCCCATCTACCTGCCCTGTCCCCCCACCTCCTACCCTCTGGTAACTACTCGTCTATAGTCCTTGTCCATGAGTAAGAGTTGTGTGTTTTAGGAGGTGAGGAAATTAATCAGACAAAATGATTCACATTCTCCTACTTCAGCCAGGTTCCCTCAGACTTCTCAAGCAGGACTAAGTCTAGTTTTAAGCCTATGGTCAGGATCTTCTGTAGTGAGGCTGAGAAATGGGAAACCATCTCATGGTCTAGCATAGTGCTGTCTAATAGAACTTTTGACAGTGATAGAAATATTCTGTATCTGCACTGTCCAATACGGTAGCCACTAGCCATATATGGCTATTGAGCACATGAAATGTGGCTAGTACAACTGAAGAGCAGAATTTTTCACTTTAATTAATTTGAATTTAATAGTCACATATTGCTTGTGAGTACTGTATTGGACATCCCAGCCAGTCTAGCACCTTGTGACATATATAATTAAATTGTTCACTGGAAACCTCCACAGGAATGTTCCATTGTCACCTCAAACTCGACTGTTTCCAACTAAACTTGCCCAGGCCAGGATGCTTACAGGCCTCTAGACTGACTCCTCATTTCATGCTCCTCTGGTCACTTAGATCTAGAGGTCTTATGTCCTGGATCCAGGACTAGGGTGAAATAAGCAAGTCACCTAGTGTGCAAAATTTAGGGAAGTGCTCACTCTGCGCACCACTTCCTGGATGAGTGCTTCTTTAAATTTTACACCCTAGGAGCTCACTCTAGTCTGGGCCCTGCCGTGTGCTTAATATGTCCTGTTTCTGTTCTCCCTGTCTTTGCTTAATTTGAAGGCTTCATCACTTCTCACTTTGACTGTTACAGATCCACCCCTCATCTTTGTCTTGTCTCTATGTCATCTCCAATACAGCTGCCACACTACCATCAAGTAATATTTCTAAAACTCAAATTAAATTGCGATCTCCTGATTAAAATCTTTCAAAACCTCCCCACGGCCTAATGGTTAAAAGCGCAACCCCTCCTCATGGCTCACCAGCGCCTTCCTGATCTCTTCACCCCCACCTCTTGAACCTCACCTTCCTCTACTTCTACTCTAATGCTCACAACAAGCAGAACAACTTGCAGTGCCCTGAAACCTCGTGTCTTTGCTTATGCTATTCCCTCTGTCTGGAATGCCCTTCCTCCATGTCTTGCTAATTCCTATTCATCTTCAGCTCAGGGACCATTTCCTCCCAGAAGAATTCCTGAACTCCCTCCCCACCCTACTGAGTTGGGCGTCCTTCTCTGGGTTCCCATGTAGATGCTTGCAACATGCTCCCAGTCACATTTGCTACTGATATGTCTGTCTCCCCAACTATACTGTGGGATCCTTGAGGATAAGGACAGTGTGGTTCATCTCTGATTCTTTAGGGTACAAAAAACATAAAGTCAGAGCTGCTTGAAACCATGTTAATGAGTGTTGAAATGTATTGAAAATTTTAAAAGTTTCACTGTGACTTGCTCTACCAAGGCCACCAAAATAATTTTGTCTCTTTCTTTTGTTTTTTATTTTTTCTGGTACAATAAAGAGAACATGGAAGCTGCTGACAGGCAAAAGCATTCATTTTCAAGCTTCTGAAAAACATACCCATAGAGGATCCTTGCATGCCTTGCATTTTTCTAGCGGGAAATTCCTGAAAATGACCTAGTCGCCCCCTTGCCCCACCTTGGAAGGCAGCATCTATTCAGTGGTAACAGGCCTTCATTATATGGTTATGTCCACTGTCAGTTTTATGCCTCATAACCACTGACACGCAGCAATTAAGACTGTCTCTGTCACCAAGTTCTCCTGCTCTGATGTATTGAAAAGTGTTACCTGGGATCCTGGATCACCTTTTTCTCCCTTTTTCCCAGGAAATCCATGAAAGCCCTAAAAGAAGACAAAGAAAACAAAATTCCCATTTAAATAAAAAATATATATATATATATCAGCCTTATGCTGATCTTATGGTATCTGAAGAAAAAAATAGCTTGCCTCTTCCCCGTCGACTCCATCGATCCCATCGTCTCCCTGTGCTCCCTGGGAGACAGACAACAGCGGGCAGCAATCAGTTCAAAGCAGATCTCGGTCACACGCTTACAGGGAAAGTAATCCCATGAGAAAATTCAGTTTGAGGAGAAACTACAATACCTTATATCCAGAAAATCCTTTGGCTCCCTGTAAAAGAGTGAACATTTCACTGACATAGCAAAGACAGAACGTGGATCCTGTTGGAGCAGGAAGGGGCTGCCTTCCTACAGGGAGTGACTGTGTATTTCTTTAGTGGCTTTTGGACTTACAATCACAAAGAGGTTACATGGGGAATTTGATTTAATGCTCAAAACTCCTTGAGATTACTAAGAAGAGAATTAATCTGCA